AATTTGTATTCGTCGCAAATGTGTTTGTCTTGATTATTTGCCGGCAGTGTATTGAATGTCATTTAGTTTTTTTTTTTGCGCAGGAGAATGTGACTGGTGGGGTAATGAAAATTTCTATACAGGTCGACAAGGGCAAAGCGCCGAACAAAGTTTGACTATTGCGACTTCACAACTGACGTAATATCCAAGATGGCGTTTTTTTAACCACAAAAGTTGAAAAGTGGGCAACTTCAAAGCACTCTTGTCGCTAATACAAAGCAAACTGGACGAAATGCCAATTATTTTCGAACTCCTAAAGAAAAAGTCTTCTGAGATAAACTTTTTCTAGACCGTGCTTTCCCTTTAAATCGTCTAAGAGCTATATTTTTATCTGTCAACCGACGACCCTATGACCATAGCCATCATTTTCTTCTGCGCGCCCGGCAGACTTTTCCTTTTCCTTTTGACCAAGCGTAAAAAACCGTTAGTGCAGCGTGAGTTACGGAGCGAGAAAAAAGCGAAAGTACTTCTTTGCGTGATTCTTTGAACAATCGTTTTTAACGGCTATTCATATGTGAGTATTTTATAGAAAACGTTTTCGAAACTTAACTCATGTGCAACACTGCGACTTGTATTTTTAAAATTTATTCGTATTCTCTGACGCGTTTCGTTTCACCATCGTATAACTGTTCAAGAGCATCTGAGGGGAAATTCTGTGCAAATGTCCGACTGCTGGACTGGTAGTATTTTAAAAAAAAACCCGTCCGGCTGCCGGACTTAAAGGCACTTCTTATATTTAAATCGTCAAAACCGAAATTCTTTTTTAACTCAGTGAAACTAAATCAGCTCTGTCAATGGATGGCTTTTTTCGTTTTCAACCGCATCCGTACAAAACCTCAAGCTAGGGGGGGAGTCTTTTCCTTACGAACAACTGAAATGTTTCCCGAAGTAAACGGATATCTTATCGAGGGAGCTTAATTTGGTATTGGCGAGCTTCTGCTTCGGTAGCGTTGCTCATCGTCAAGATTTGAATTTGGTTTTAAACAGCAGTGACTATGGATTCATCTCTCTTGTCTACATCTTTTGAATCAATCAAATCATGTAACATTATGGGTAAAACTGTTCCCACAGCAAGCTTGGTAGCCAAGAAATAAAGAATTTCGTCCGAGAATGTTTCTCTTTCGACGTCCTGGTAAAGGAGTGGTTTCGAACAGGGAAGTCTTCGTAGCATTATACCTAAACAAGCTAATCATACAACTGTGAGGATAAAAAGGGTCTTGTTATCTCGAAGGAACTTCCAAATCAGAAACCACGAGCTCTTTGTATCGGCTGATTCTGGTGAGGTGATTTTGAGGTTACCTTCGTCTATGATTTGAGCCAGATGCGCAACCATCAGCAAAAGAATGAACAACATCGTCAGAAACAAAGCAGCTTCAAGGGTCGCTTGAGAAATAGGTACTTTAGCGAAACATTTGTGCCATAAGATCATTGAAGAGCCAGCGAGACCCAAACTAAGTGGTGAAGACATCCGGAAATTTGAAAAGAACCCTCGGTTTTCGTGCCTCACAGAATGTTCATGATAGACCGTTAAATTGCCATCAAATTACATGTTTGGAAGAAAATCATAGAAATCGACAGGGCCTGAAAGATATTGCAGGACTCTTTCTCTTGATTACTGAAACTATTCCACCATTCTGTGACATCTAAGGAAAGAATTATGGCTTGGCAAATGTACTGAAAATAGCCCAGTATTCTGCACTTTTGAATAAAACTAGACCTGTGCTTCATTTTTTCTCTGAAGCATCTCTGCAACATTCGCACATTGAAGAAGACTGCACCTAAATCCAGTGCTGATATCAAAAGGAACCTGAAAAGGTGATGAGACCATGATGGAAGAACAGCAGCCTCTGATATCTGGTTGAAGAAAGTTGTTTTGGCCCATGATAAAAATAGGACACCCATATTTAAAGCTAAATTTAATAGCATAATAAACATAGTACGCATCGTCTGATTGGTCGTCAAGTTCCAAGCGGATACTTTATCAGGATTTAGAGCCCGCATGTAACTAGTTCTGTTATAAAAGCTTCGGCTCGTGATTTATAAGCGTTCTGAGTGTTCTATTGCCTAATTGAAAATTGGAACATATTTATTTATCAAGCAAGTGATCCAAACTTGGCCAGCAGAATGGATTTATGATCACATGTTCCTCACACAGGACGAATGTTCATATTTCAGTGCCTTTAGGCAAAATCTAATGCATCCTAAAGGTTGAGTAAAGCTTTAATTGTCTTTAAGTGTCAAATGAAATATCCGGAAGGTAACACCAAGCTTTTATGAATCTTTAATTGAACATAAGTTTACCTTTAATAACAAAAATATTTCAGTATCCTTTAAGTGGTATCTTTTTCGGCACAAAAGAGGGTGTTTAATTAAGATACATATAAGTTGACTTTAAGGTGAGATTTGAATGAGTCTCACTGTTCTGACATCTTTAATTGACACCTTAAAGAGTCTCATTGTAATCTGAACTGTCAATAGAAAATTCATCACAAATTAGCCAATACTTGCATTGATGAGCGAGAAGAGCAAACTTTGTTCAACGTGCAGCAGCAAACTTTGTCGTGTTCACAATTCTTTCTAGAGTCGAAACATCTGTATTGAAAGCGAAGGTTTCATTTTTGCATCTCCTTTAAAGAGCGCATGAGTGCGATGACAAGAAAGGATATGTTTTCTGCGCTCACTGTAATAACTTCATATCACGTTCAACTTTTGAAAGGCATGAGCGGAAACGTAACGGGAAGAACTTAACAGACACTTCTGCAGCGACTTCAAATCCCCGTGATTTGCTTCCCGAAATTTCAAGTTTATGTGACGATGAAGTGTCTGTTAAGTTCGAATATAAAGTTATACATAGTTTTTTTATTATTACATGGGAACGTAACTACTATTGAACGTTGCTTGAGACGGCGATTAACTACTGCCAACTCATCTCTTCTATTTCACCAATTCTTTACAGAACCCGCAGATTTTGTTCTAGAAGAGCGTCAAGTAATCGAAGGAGAATTAGATAATTCTTGGTCAAACCTTGAGCAGGTAAGGAGGGGGAGAACACGGGGTTTGTGCACTAACGTGTATCACGTAAATTGTCAAATGAAAAATATTGATCTGATCGGCGGAAGTAAGAGTGAAACGCCCTGGCATGCAGTTTACCTACTTTTTCTTGATTTTTTTTAAATCCACCCCTTTTTCCTACACCGAGGAAAATCATCATCATTGATGATGATGATGTAAATAAGAAAAGTGTTCAAAGAGGTTTTCATTTAGATGAATATAGAGAAAGTCAATGCGAGGATTAGGGAAACATAACATACTTAACCCCCCACCCCCTCATTTGCGGAAAATCTAGTGCAGGAGCAGTGGCCGGAGCTTCTCTCAAAATACCACAATGCCACCAATGTTATGTAAAATGGCTCGAAACTTTTCATCAAACAATCTGAAGAACGTAATCATTTGGTATTAACTTGAATTTACAAACATAATGGCCAGTATTGATCCTTGCATGAAAAATCTTAGAGGTACGAAACGAGTACGAGTGGTAACCATGCGAAAACTCGTTAAACCTGCCCCCATGGAAAACAAGAATACTTTGCATTGACGTGAAAGTAGTTTTAAAGGAGAAGATTACTAATACCTGAAGTTCTACTTACAAGGGTACGTCATGTCTCTCGAGTTTGTTTACAGCAAACGATAATGCAATTCTATCGCAAAACCGTAGTCCGAAAGGCAATTTTATTTTGACACTGCATTCTTGGTCAAAGAACTGTCTGTAGGTATGGGACAGAGTGGAAATCTTGCCCAGTCCACTTGCAAGGAAAATGTCACTCGACCCGACCCAAGCCTCTTTCGCTTTTTCACCCCGCCGCTACAATCGTGCCTTTTATAGTTTGCTCCGTTTCGGTAACTGAGCGCTTGGAGCAAGCTTAATCTCTTCGGACTTGAGGACCTTCAAAAGTACCCTCTCTCCCTGAGGAGTGCTTGGAGCAGGCTTAATCTCTTTTGACTATAAGAC